TAAAACATAAACTAAGAATCTCAAACATTCAAACCTGTCTTGATGAAAAACATGTAATATCCACATTTCACAAGTCACACAATATATATACGGTATATATATGTATGTATATATATTAGTGCTGTCAAAATTATCACGTTATTATCGCGTTAACGTGAGGCCATTTTAACGGCGATAATTTTTTTAACGTGAGATTAACGCTATGTGGTTTTATGGTACAATTTTCCAAGTACATCCCGCTGCAGCCTGCAGGAAGGCAGGGCTATTTTCCCCCAGTCTATGCATTTTCCATAGGCTTCCAGAGCGGAGCTCCTCAAGGAAAAAAGACGCTGATACACTGGGTGGCGCTAGTGCCTTTTCTTTAAGCCCCACCACCAACAAACAAGTTGAGTGTCTGGTAACTAGTAGCAACCTGAAATACACTGAGAAAACAGATTACTGAGGTGAAATGGAATCTGCTACGACACTCTTGCCGTCTGTGTACGCCACAGGTCGGTATCATGTGTGTGTGTGTGTGTGTGTGTGTGTGTATGTGGGTGGGTGGGTGCTTGTGTGTGTGTGTTCTCATTTTTGTTAAGAGGCTGAAAAGTAACTTTCTAGAGCATAGACTACCTTCATCTAGTGATGTCGGTCTATTGATATTGATGTATTGATTGAAAATTGTTCATTATTATCTTGGTTAATTAACATCTAATGTTAACTCTACTAAATTTTATAGCAGTAGGGTAAAATGCTTGTCTTTGTTCAAAAGACTGTATTAACTGTAAAGACTGTCTTTTACATCAGCCTGTTTTCAGGGCCTTTTTTTTGGCTACATATTTGTTATTTTTGGCATAAATCAGTGTCTGTGACCTGTTTTCATTTTAAAAAAAGAACATTGGCACAAACCTAGCCTGTATGTATTTTTTTGTATGTCATCGAGAGTATTTAAATGATTTTCAATCAGGAAAAAAATGTGCGATTAAAATGCGATTAATCGCGAGTTAACTCAGGCATTGATGCGATTAATCGCGATTAAAAAAATTTAATAGATTGACAGCACTAATATATATGTGTATATATATATATATATATATATATATATATATATATATATATATATATATATATATATTGGTTTAAGAAAGCAGAATAGCTGTTATCCTGAGACAAATTAATGACCCAAGTTACTCCAACCTGTTATAGTTACAGTGGCTCAGGTTATCCTCAGCAATCTCTTATAGTTTTGCTGCTATGGGGTTAGACTGCCGGAGGACATAGGGACCACTTTTCCTCATTATGCTTCATTGTTCTTCTAAAGCATTGAGTGAATGTAGACAGCATTTTGGTTTACTAGTTAGTTTATCAGATATTGTTTGTTTATTGAATTTAAACAGAGTTGTTTCAGCTTGTGTGATCAGAAGCATCTGGCAAGGTGTGTTCAATGGCATCACGTAATTTAGTGGGTCAACCCGTCTCTGGTGTTCCCACAGCATGCCGATCACAGCCGAGGCTATTTTAATACCGGTCGCTTACCAAGTCGTTTGACCTGAAGAGACACATGTCAATGAGCTGTTCCCACTGATACTAAAACCCGATTTATCCCGGCTTTGTCTAGCAATATCAAAAACTATTATTTCCTGAATGCAGCAGAACATAAATACATTTATTTATTTATAGTGATTTATTTATAGTATTCATTTATACTAATGTGAAAGAAGTGGACTTTACATTTTGTGATGTGAGTGAGGCCCTGGATGGATTTAAATGTGCTCTTTGTGTTAGTGCAGACTAGTTGATGTTTGGGGCTAAATACCTGCTCTGTCCCACCAGCAGACTGCAAACCTAAACTAAACACAGCTCAAGGCGAATTTAGGGGAAAGGGGACTAAAGCTTTGGTGGCTGAATCCCCCAGAATCCTCAATGAGCTGTGGTCACAGCGTTTATGGGCTAACTGGTTCATATAGTCAACAGTGTTTGACACAGAGGGCATACAGGTGCTGGTCATAAAATTAGAATATCATGAAAAAGTAGATTGATTTCAGTAATTCCATTTAAAAAGTGAAACTTGTATATTATATTCATACATTACATACAAACTCATATATTTCAGATGTTTATTTTGTTTAATTTTGATGATTACAAATGACAACAAATGAAAATCTCAAATTCATCATATCAGAAAATTAGAATATTGTGAAAAGGTTCAAAATTGATGGCCCCTGGTGCCACACTCTAATCAGCTAATTAACTCAAACCACCTGCAAAAGCCTTTAAATGGTCTTTCAGTCTAGTTCTATAGGCTACACAATCATGGGGAAGACTGCTGACTTGACAGTTGTCCAAAAGACGACCATCGACACCTTGCACAAGGAGGGCAAGACACAAAAGGTCATCGCTAAAGAGGCTGGCTGTTCACAGAGCTCAGTGTCCAAGCACATTAATAGAGAGGCGAAGGGAAGGAAAAGATGTGGTCGAAAAAAGTGTACAAGCAAGAGAGATAACCGCACCCTGGAGAGGATTGTGAAACAAAACCCCTTCAAAAATGTGGGGGAGATTCACAAAGAGTGGACTGCAGCTGGAGTGAGTGCTTCAAGAACCACCACACACAGACGTATGAAAGACATGGGTTTCTGCTGTCGCATTCCTTGTGTCAAGCCACTCTTGAACCACAGACAGCGTCAGAAGCGTCTAAAGAGAAACAGGACTGGACTGCTGGTGAGTGGTCCAAAGTCATGTTCTCTGATGAAAGTAAATTTTGCATTTCCTTTGGAAATCAAGGTCCCAGAGTCTGGAGGAAAAGAAGAGAGGCACTTCATCCACGTTGCTTGAAGTCCAGTGTAAAGTTTCCACAGTCAGTGATGGTTTGGGGTGCCATGTCATCTGCTGGTGTTGGTCCATTGTGTTTTCTGAGGTCCAGGGTCAACGCAGCCACATACCAGGAAGTTTTAGAGCACTTCATGCTTCCTGCAGCTGACCAACTTTTTGGAGATGCAGATTTCATTTTCCAACAGGACTTGGCACCTGCACACAGTGCCAAAGCTACCAGTACCTGGTTGAAGGACCATGGTATCCCTGTTCTTAATTGGCCAGCAAACTCTCCTGACCTTAACCCCATAGAAAATCTATGGGGTATTGTGAAGAAGAAGATGCAATACACCAGACCCAACAATTCAGAAGAGCTAAAAGCCACTATTAGAGCAACCTGGGCTATCATAACACCTGAGCAGTGCCACAGACTGATCGACTCCATGCCACGCCGCATTGCTGCAGTAATACAGGCCAAAGGAGGCCCAACTAAATACTGAGTGCTGTACATGCTCATACTTTTCATGTTCATACTTTTCAGTTGGCCAACATTTCTATAAATCCTTTGTTTTTATTGGTCTTCAGTAATATTCTAATTTTCTGATATGATGAATTTGAGATTTTCATTTGTTGTCATTTGTAATCATCAAAATTAAACAAAATAAACATCTGAAATATATGAGTTTGTATGTAATGTATGAATATAATATACAAGTTTCACTTTTTAAATGGAATTACTGAAATCACTCTACTTTTTCATGATATTCTAATTTTATGACCAGCACCTGTACATCCTGCAGAGCTGCTCAGAGGGGGATGGTTGCTATGGCCTTAGCTGAAAGGTTGGAATTATGTGGAGGGAGACTAATTATTTTCAATAATTGTGTATTTTACTCAAGCCAGCAGAAACAATAACACTTTATGGTGCTTTAAAGTGGAATCTATCTGAATCAGAATTCTCTGTGTTGTATTTTTCCAGGAATATACCTCACCAATGTGAGTTTAAGGGGTTTCACAGCTTACAGGATTAAAAACTACAATGCATTGAGTTGGTTTGGAGCAATAAAGTACAAAAATCCATGCTGTTATTTTGAGCAGTGCTGTAAATGCTGAAATGTGAGCAAGTATAGAGGAAAAATGGCCCAGACAGCTAGAAGAAGCTGAATTACCTCTTCAGGGTGCCATCAAGTTTGGCAGAATTTAGGTAAAGAGCCATTAATTCATAATATGGACTTGCATTGTTTCAATTCAATTTAGTTTATTTATATAGCACCAATTCACAACTTATTTCAAGGTAGGTGTAGAAAGTCAATACAGTCACATTGGTTAAAAGTTTGTCAGGTAAAAAGACAGGCTTCTCCTGGATGAACTTGCAGAAATAATTTCATCTTGCATTGTCATTGACTCTTTAGCGATCCCTCACTGAGCATGCATGCAGGGACAGTGGAGAGGACAATTGGCAAATGTTCCTTATCAATCACAAACGTTAAGTGGTTACAAAGTTTAAGAGAAAATGAATGCATAAGACTTTAATTAAATAAGCAGTTTTTAAAATACGGACTGTTTGCTCCAGAGATTAAGCAGATAAAGTGAAAAGGGAAGGAAGTAAATCAAAATACCTGTAAACTCAATCACTCTTACTAGCAGAACCACTTCAAAGTCATAGATACATTTCGATAACTTTGGTTTGATAAAAGGCTAAATAAATAAAAAACTGAAAACCACCTATATTCTCTGTCCCCCTCCGATCTTTGGGGAATCTTTTCCACAGATGTGTTCCAGGAAAAGAAAAGGGTGTCTCACTGTGGGTTGCAGCTTTTTTTTTGGAGTTGATCTCAGGGTTGCACCAGAAGATACAGGATGACAACTGTGAATATTAAACCAGGCAAAACTAAAAAATATCTGGGGATTTATGAAACAAGCTCCAAATGTAGCTGAAAATGATCTGTAAGATCAGATCTGGTTAGATCTGTAAAATGTAGTAAACTGATAGAATCATATTTCTTGAACACCTTACCTGGTCCAAATCTGCGGCTCAGCAGAGACTGCTCATTCTGAAAAACCTGACATAAAACTGTTTCCAGCATGCTGGGGTTCTGATCAGCAGAACACTGGTTTGCTCAGCTGAAGTAAGTTAGCGTATAATGAAAATCTGATCTAATAATATTTATCCTTACATGAAAACATAAAAGAACTTTCCTGCTGTGTTTCAGGTTACCTCCAGGAGGCCTACCTTTGGACCAAGCAGGTTCTGTCCATCATGGAAAAGTCCATGATCCTCCTGCAGGATGTGACGGACGGCTCGCTGTATGAGGGGGTGGCGTACGGGACCTACACCACCCGTTCTCTGTTCCAGTACATGTTCTTGGTGCAGCGTCATTTTGCCATCGGACACTTCAGCCACCCCTGGCTGCTGAAGCACTTCGCCTTCCTCTATAGGACCATCCTTCCAGGTATCGGGGGGCGGGATTCACTGCTGAACTCGACTTGGTGTTCTTTAACTTGTTTCCTAAAGATCTCACATCGGCCATAATGATTGATAGGAGAGATAGTTTAAATTTCCTCTTCTCTATTCTCCTTTGCCATGCTCTGCATCCTCAGTAACTTTCTTTCAACTCAACTGGAACTTGCAGAAGTAATCAAAGTATTATTTCAGCTTTTCCAGGTATCGGGGGGGCGGGATTCAGCAGGACACTGCTGAACTCGACTTGGTGTTCTTTAACTTGTTTCCTAAAGATCTCACATCGGCCATAATGATTGATAGGAGAGATAGTTTAAATTTCCTCTTCTCTATTCTCCTTTGCCACGCTCTGCATCCTCAGTAACTTTCTTTCAACTCAACTGGAACTTGCAGAAGTAATCAAAGTATTATTTCAGCTTTTGAGATATTAATGAACTGTTTGCAGGTGTAAATAAACAACTGCTACAGTTGCTATGGTTACTATGGTTATGCATCATAACAGTGTCCAGAAAAGGAAAAGGTTTTGGCAATAGTACTTTTATGTCCCTTGAGGATTTAGACAAGCGTATGCCTGATGTACGGAAAATCTGGAAAAAACACTGGCATACTTTGGATAAGTTATGGGTACATTTTGTATAAGTTAGGAGAACGCTGAAGTACGCTGGAATAGAGTCCTGCACGGGTCGGGTTTTACCAACCTGCACCCGCCTGAACCCATTACGATGACTTTCGAACCCGACCCGTCGCCCGCGGATATCTTCAATTCAAATCTGAACCCGACCCGTTGATATTTAAAGGCACACTATGCAACATTTTTCAGTTAATTAATGTGTTCCATAATGTTTTGGATGATTAAATGAGTAATTTCAGGTTGAACAAAGGTATTCTCGGCCGCCCTGGTGGTCTGTGGGGGAAATACCGCACTTGCAATTGCAGGAGCACCGACCCGCACCCACAGGCTCAGAAGTCTCGCGAGAGTCGGTCTTGCTTTACGGCGAGAACTGCTACATGCCCCCAGTTAAAAGCATGCTCGTTGCTAGCACAGTGGCGATATTTGTGCAGTGCTGCTTTCAAACCGGACGCAGCAAAAGCAGCAAAATGGCGTCTGCTGCTTCATTTTTACTGCTTGTACCAGTTAATTCTGACGCGCGGCTGAAGCAGCTTTGCTGCTCTGGCTGACGCGCGTTGGGCGGAGCTTCACTATCCTTTCTCTGCCTTGCAGCTATATTTGCTGTGATCAGTGGGAATAAAGTAGTTTTAATATGTGTTTAAGTGAGAAAATACACCTGAAAATGTAATCAGTTCATTCAGTTCATCCAGATTATCATCCTGCCTTCAATATTTTTTCTGTCGGAGCCGCTCAGACCCCCACATACCAGCTGTGCTCTGTCAGTAGGAATCCCTTCATCAGCAGCCTCTGGCTGGGTCGCCTCCTCGCGGTTTCTGCTGGTAGGTGTTTTTCATCTAAATAATCCAAACTGCAGGCAGCAGGATAATAAAAGCCAAAATATTCTGCCGGCAGATTTCTGCATTTTAAGTTAATTTAGGCGTCAATAAACTGTTTAAGTGATCATAGCGCTCTGATCATCAGCGCTGTGTCTCTCCCTCTGCCAGCTCCGAGATCAGCTAGTCTGATTGGTTGACGCGGCGCGTTGAGCAGCAAAAATTCAATTTTTCCATCTCGAGCAGCAGCGCGTTTGCCACGCGTCACGCGCGTTAGATGTTTAGTCATTCGTTGCGTTCGCCTGTCTGCTAAGCTCAAAACAACCGCGCCTGGCTTAACGGAGAAACCAGGAGAAGAGCTGGGCATATTTACGTCAGTGCACTTTTACTTTCGCCCTCTGGGGGGAGCCTCGCTGGAAAATCAACACTGGTTGCATAGTGTACCTTTAACCCGAAACCCGACCCGTTAACACATCAAGTAATAGGCTATAGTACGCTGCGCTGCAGAGCAGCGCCATTAACACTGCAGCAGACATGTATGCACTGACTGTGGCCTTTTTGGAGGGAAGCCCACACTGCCGGCAGGCCTTTAAGCTACAAGGGTGACCCCAGTGCCTGATTAATATAACATTTCTGATGTCCATAACAACACACACGCATAAAAAAAAATCACCAACTACCCGCCCGCACTAAAAAAATATCCACCCGACCCCCGACCCGTTTATTTTTATTTGTATTTTTCACCCGCAAAAGAGCATTTTAGCGGGTGACCCATCGGGGACCCGCGGGTACCCGACCCGTTGCAGGACTTCACGCTGGAACACGTCGACATACGGCGAGTACGTCAAGACGTATGCCATACATAGGCCATAAGTTGCAGGTAAGTTATCTGATCGCTGACATACATTAAGTGTCAGTTACTCATAAGTGGTGGCGTCTAGCTTATCCAAAACCTATGAGTAACTTATCAAGAACTTCTCTCCAACGCATATCAGCGTATCTGACGTGTTCCAGACGAGCGCTGAACGTGTTTCTAACTTCCAGCTACTGTATAATGGCGTATTGGCAGCGTTTTGGTATAAAGGGGGTTCACAGGAGGAAACCGTCAGTTCTCCTCCAGACTTCATCCCCATCATAGGCTGAGGGAGAAGGTGAGAGTTATGGATCCTCCCTGCGTTCACGCCCACCACCAACACACTTCCTAGCAGACATGACGCTGAATCTGCTGACACCAAAACCTTCTTTCTTTTTCTTTTTTTTATCTTTTTTTGGGGGCAGGCAGTAAACAGTAACTAGGTTAATACCACGATCAAAGATATCTTTTTATGCAGACCGGGCGCCTCTGGCCGCATCTCAGCCCCTCAGGAGCAGCAATGCTCTGTAATGCCATGCTAGCGCGGCTGTGTGTTATGCATAAGTTAGGCTGTCGTTAGACATAAGTTCTACACTCCTAATGAATACTCAGTGTGTACGGACAAAATTGAAAAATCCATAGAAAGTTCAGCCTATGCCAGCGTTTTAGGAGCTTCTGGGATGTCAGGCATACGCTGGATAAATCAGCAAGGTGGATAGGGCCCTGAGCTGCACTGCATCTACCACCACAACACTGATAGGTTTAAAATGATATCTACAATGCCCTTTTTTCATGCCGCTTGATTTTCAGTATTTGTTAACTGGATTTAATATGTTAAACTGACAATAAATGTCAAAAAGTGTAGTTGTAGTGTATATTGGGTTTTTTTTGCCCTTAAAGATGTTTAAATATGTCTGCCAGGCCCACTAGGTCAACACCTTTTAGAACACTTTTTGCTGCAGCTCAAGCTGCATGTTAGCGTGTTATGTCTCTAACCAGCTGAGCACATCAACACTTTGACATTTGTGCTCATTCTTCTCTGCAAAATGAAATCAGGATAGGATGAAGAATATTTGGTTGGATGGAGCATTTCTGCAGACATCGGTTTTAAAATATTGCCAAAAGTTCCCAAGTTGATTTAAAGAAGAAGTCCAGTCAGCAAGGAATAATCAATGGATCATTATTTATACCTAAAACTAATTCGTTTGTGTTGATTTAAGGATTTTAGCATTAATCAGTAAAAAAATAATGAGTCTGGGAGCGGCCATTTTTGCCCAAATATAGTAACCCCTCCCTCCTGCCATCTTCCAGCAGTGACGTCACGGTGCGGTAAGCCTAGCGCCATTCTCCCCGCTTTACAAGCTAAATCAATGGGAACTACTAGACACATCTGCAATCAACAACAATTATTGAAGATTTCCAGAGGACTTCACCATTGAAATTCACCAGAGCTATAGTGAAACTGACAATGCCCACGTGCATGGCAGCTGGATGCTGGAATACATCGGGTAAAAGTGGAAAAAAAGAGTTATTCCACCTTTCTGATTCCTGATCCTCCACGGACGGGTTGGTCGTTGGATCGCCAACTTGAAGAGGGAGGATTTGCCATCGAACTTCTGGCCAGAGAAAAAACACGTAATATGTAGCCAACATTTGGAAGAAGAATGTTTTCAAGATGACTTGGATAATAGCGCGTTGTGACAAACACCAGATACAGCACTGGGACTTGATCAACAGCCGATACGTCGTGCCGTGACGTCACAAACCAGTAGGTGGCAGTAGTGTTCTTTGACAAACATGGATGCCTCCAGTAAAGCACATTCACATGATAATTACTCTGAATTAAAAACACTGATCATTTATTGAACAGGATGGAATAACTTCATATTTAAAGTAATTTCAGAAGTTTGAATTCTGAATATGAGCGAACTTGTCCTTTAAGGATCTAACCAGGTGGTGAGCAGCACCACAGCGCAGCAGGGGACTTTTCTCTCGCTGTTCCTTCTGTACCTATCACAATTCCTGTAGCATCCTGTGATCTGAAAAAAAAAACACCCTGAACGCTCCATAGTTGTGGGCGGCTGTCAGCTGGTGGTCCACTTTGTGGAATGGTGTGGAAGCAATCATCTTATTTAAACTCGAGCAAAACATTTAAATAAGAGGATAGTAGATTTTAGGAAAAGAAGGAATGAGCAAAACACACTACGCATCAGAGAAGATAAAGTGCAGGAGGTGATGGAGTTAGAAACTCCTTCTCCCCAGGTGGTTTACCTTCTAGGGTTCTATAGATTTTATTTTTATTTTAGTTAGAGCTGCCAGATGCCTCAAATTACCAATGAACCTGCTGTGGGGATTTGATCAAACTATATATATATATTTTCCTTTTTTTAAGTTTTTACGGCACTAGTGGCTTGTTTTTCAGACAGTAGGCTGACAGAAAAGGGGGTACAAGAGAGGGGGAGATGCATGCGGCAAATGAGCACAGGTCGGATTCAAACCCGGATCAGCCTCCGCACATGGGTCGTGCACATTAACCACTGTTCCACCTGCATGCCTAAACTACAGTTTTATGTCTGGAGACACTTTTGGAAGTGGGAAAAAGATGGATTTTTTTATTGCTTGCAGTGTTTCTGTTGCTTGTCACGTTCATGCTCGTTTCCCAGATAACAAGCAACGGTCTCTCATTACATGCTCCGGTTTCAGAAACGCTGTCAGCACCAGAATCCAGGATTTTTTCCAACATAATTACAGAGAGGAGAACAGTGTGAACGAAATCACTCCTCTGACCACAAGCCATACATTTTCCCAGTGTGGGCGTGTAGTTGTGACATACAAAGCATCCACATATTGTTGAAAGATTTTCAAACCCCTCTATTTTTTTTACCTTTATTTTCCAGATAGATGAAAAAGTAGCGTCTAACATCCCGTCTCTGCTTTCATTGTCTCAACAGGGTTTCAGCGAACCGTAGCCATTGCAGATTCCAACTACAACTGGTTCTATGGGCCAGAGAGCCAGCTGGTGTTCTTGGATCGCTATGTGTTGCGTAACGGCAGTGGGAACTGGTTGGCAGAGCTGATTCATCAAAACAGGATTACAGAAGGACCAGGTCAGGCTGGAAAGGGCCAGCGATGGTGCACGCTGCACACAGAGTTCATCTGGTAAGCTGCTGAATTTGGTTTTGGGATAAAAGCTCTTCTTTATTCTTAGTGCATCTATACTTTTACCTCTTCCAGCTGGAAATATTGACATACTCCCATCTTCGTCCCTAAAAACTGATGATTACGTTTTAGGATGAATTTCCTTGGAATCATTTCCAGAACTTCAGTCATGGGCAAACCTAGGGACTCTAATGTAGCATTTTGCAATCTTTAGAGAAGTGAAGTCTTTGGTGCCACTTATAAGGACAAACGTGTTTAAAAAACTGCAAATTTCTTGATCTCTCTGAGAGGGTCGGGGGTGGGTGGGGATTTTAAATGAATTGTTGGTCTTTCTGCATGGAGTTTATATGTTCTCACTGTGCATGCGTGGGTTCTCTCCAGGTAATCTGTGTTTCATGGTCCAATATTGTGTCACAAACCTAAACGAATAATGTACTAGTTTAATAATGGAGAAGCTATTTGTCATCTTTATAATTTTCTAATATACAAAAACTGTTTATTTTCTGAGAAGGTGTTTATTTGAGAGCAACTATGCAAATTAACAAACATTTTGAAAAAGTACACTAGATATTATTTTCCATGTGAATCCCACGTTTCTAGTGTCATTTCTCTCTCTCTCTCTCTCTCTCTCTCTCTCTTTCTCTCTCTCTCTCTGAGTGCATGCTGGGAGTTTGGTGGTGGAGAGTGTGGCTGAGAGCTTGTGAGTAATCTCAAACTTTTCTTTTTTTCTCTCTGACTGTTTACTGTGTGATTGTTTGTTAATTGTTTATTTTTGTATCACCCCAAGTTACTGTGTGTTTGGGTGCTTTGGGGGGCGGTAGGCCGTGTTTCTTGACAGGGATGGCGTCCTCGGTGGCGCCGTCCCTGTCTCTGAAGCATGGGGTGAGGATTGTGCCGCAGCCCAGCACTACGGTGGAGCAGGTGCTGCTGGCAGTAGGAGAACAGGTGGGACATGGAAACATCTCATATGCCTCACGCATGAATAAGGCAGTGGTTGTGTTTCTAAAAAATCTGGAACATGTAAGTCAGCTCATAGAAACCGGACTGGTCCTGGATGATGAGTTTTTTCAGGTTTCCCCGTTGGCAGTGCCTTCGGTCCGGATCACCGTATCTGGTGTCCCCCCGTTTATTTCCAATGAGGCTCTGGAGACAGAGCTGAAGCGTTTTGGAAGATTTGCGAGCGGTTTCCGGGTGGTGAATCTGGGCTGTAAGGACGCCAAACTGAAACATGTTCAATCTCTGCGGAGACAAGTGTTTATGTTCCTAGATTCTCCAACCCAAACGCTGGACGTTTCGTTCCGTGTCAAACATGAGCAGGGACACTACATGGTGTACGCCAGTTCTGGAAACATGAAGTGTTTTGAGTGTGGAGATGTGGGCCACAAGCGGGTGGCATGTCCCCACAGACAGAGTGTGGTGGGGCCCGCGGCGTGCGCTGCGGCGGGTCCCGCGGCGTGGGCTGCGGCGGGTCCCGCGGCGGGTCCCGCGGCGGGCGCTGCGGCGGGTCCCGCGGCGGGGGCTGCGGCGGGTCCCGCGGCGGGCGCTGCGGGAGAGGATAGCGGGGAGGGGAGCAGTGGAAAGCGGGCGCTGCCCGAGGCTGCTCCTCGTAATAATACTGAGGGAGACTGCTCCGTGGTAGGAGCTGACAGTGGCTCCGTGGTAGGAACTGACAGTGGCTCAGTGGTTGGGACTGAGGGTGATGGTTCCCTCCAGTTGACAGACAGTGCTGTAGGTGAGGAAGAGGCTGTGGACAGGACAGGGCAGAGAGCGGATGACCTGGGGAGGTCAGAAAAGGACGCAGAGTGCAGTCCTGTGCAGGATGCAGAGCTTCTGCAGGTGAACCCTGATAGTGAGGCAGATGATCAGATGGAATCCACTCATGGCCATAATGATTCTGATTCTGATAGTTTCTCTATCGCAGACAGCTACTTTCAGAGTGTTGATTTGTATTCTCTGGAGGAAATCAATGGTTTTCTAGATGACACCTTTGGAAAAAAAGTTAATGTAAAAGATTATTTTCCTGATGTGGATAAATTTATTGAATCGGTCACTACTTTGCAGAGAGTTGTTGGTTATGATTTACTGGACAGCAAGAAACGTTTTCGTCTTAAGAAGCACGTCACAGGTCTAAGGAAAACTCTTAAAACAACAAAGGGTAAAATGTCAAAGAAAATGAAACTTTAACAAACAGTAACATGATTGTACAACACTGGGTGTTTCAATTCTGTTGGTTTTCCCTACTGGTCTGTCTCTATTCTCCTTACATGCAGGGTCTAAGAGTGGCCTCTTTAAACATAAATGGGGGTAGAGATGGAAAAAAAAGGGCTATATTAACAGATGTTATCACACAGAAAAGACTGGATGTAATTTTCCTACAAGAAACACACACTGATTGCACGAATGAAATAGATTGGGGCTTATGGTGGGGAGGGCAGCATGTCCTTAGCCATGGGACAAATCTAAGTGCTGGAGTTGCCATTCTGTTTTCTTCGAGGTTAAATGTAACTGTTATTTCCAGCACAGAGGTGGTGAAGGGCAGAATGCTTATGGTGAGAGCTGAAGTAGAGGGTTTCAGCTTCATTTTCATTAATTTATATGCACCAAACCAAGGCTCTGAGCGGGAAAAAACTTTTAAAATACTGAAGGAAGAACTAAATAATATTGGTACAGGAGAGTTTATTGTATTGGGTGGTGACTGGAACTGCTGCACTGATTTTACATTAGATAGGACCGGAGAGGAGCCACATGTTCAGTCCTCCTTGTTTCTGTCTCAAGTATTAACAAAAACCGATTTGGTTGATGTGTGGAGGATGAAACACCCTTCTGATAGGCAGTACACTTGGGTCAAAATATCTGATGGGAGAGTAAGTGCAGCTAGACTGGACAGGTTTTATCTACCTGCTTCTTTCACTACTAGAGTTCTTAGCTGTAGAATATTCCCAGTAGTTTTTACTGACCACCATCTAGTCTTAATGGAGCTGTTTCTCTCTCCCACTAGAAAACAAACATCTTTTTGGCGTTTTAATATTAAATTATTAAAGGATCTTACTTTTTGTGAAAATTTTAAATTGTTTTGGGCCTACTGGAGATCCCAGAAAGTTGATTTTCTTTCCCTGGCTCAGTGGTGGGAGGTAGGAAAAGCTCAGGTTAAAGTTTTTTGTCAGGAATATACAGTTGGTGTCACTACAAAAACCAAGAGGGTTGTGCAGGAGTTAGAGGACCAGATAAGGAACTTGGAAAATGCCCTTAAAGAGAATCAGCAAAATGATCTTTTACGATCAAAAAAGGGGGAGCTCAACTCTTTCCTGCAGGAGAGAGCAAAAGGAGCTTTAGTCCGAGCACACTTCACAAGACTACAGGACATTGATGCACCAACCACCTTCTTTTTTAACCTGGAGAAGTCAACTACTTCAAAAAAACAGATGGTGTGTCTCCGTCTCCCGGATGGGAAGGTGACCACAGACCCAACGGAGATGAGGAGGCATGCCGTGGATTTTTACACTGACTTGTTCAGGGCGGATGGCTGTGATGTGGATGCTGCTGCGGAGCTTCTTCAAGGACTTCCTCAGTTGGATCCAGGAGATCGGGAGGCTCTGGGTTTGGAAATAACTCTGGATGAACTGACTGCTGCTGTGTCTCAGATGACATCTGGAAAGGCTCCGGGAATAGATGGTCTGCCTTCAGACTTTTTTAAACATTTCTGGACCATCATGGGACAGGACCTTTTGGATGTTTTTAATGAGTGTCTTATGAAAAAGACACTTCCAGGTTCTTGTAGGCGTGCAGTTCTTTCTTTGCTCCCTAAGAAGGGAGATTTAGCCCTTTTAAAGAACTGGAGACCAGTAGCTCTTTTATGTACGGACTACAAGATTCTTTCAAAAGTATTATCAAACAGACTGAAAACTGTTATTGATTTTCTAATTGGTGCAGATCAATCATATTGTGTACCTGATAGGTCTATGTTTGATAATTTGTTTTTAATGAGAGATGTTTTTGATATTTGTAAAATTTATGACATTAATGTTGGTATCATATCCATAGACCAGGAGAAGGCCTTTGACCGAGTGGATCATGATTTTCTTTTTACTACCTTACAGGCTTTTGGTGTTGGGGAGGGTTTTCTGTCTTGGGTAAAGCTGTTGTATCGAGATGCCTGTTGTGTGGTGAAGGTGGGAGGTGGGTTGAGTGTTCCAGTGCCAGTTAGGAGAGGGATCAGACAAGGCTGCCCCATTTCAGGCCAGCTTTACAGTATTGCCATTGAGCCTCTCCTCTGTCGGTTGAGGAGTAGACTGCGAGGTCTCTCCCTGCCAGAGTTGGCTAACATGCCCCCTGTTATTGTATCAGCATATGCTGATGATGTAAACATATTTATTTGCAATAAGGGAGACGTTCAAGAGTTACAAGAAAGTTTGTCCTTGTATGGAAAAGCTTCCTCTGCTAAGGTGAACTGGGGAAAAAGTGAGGCTTGTTTAGTGGGGGAGTGGGCTGTGGGGAGCATTCCTTGTCTTCCTGGTAACCTTAAGTGGGGAAAAAGGGGTATAAAAAGTCTTGGAGTTTTTATTGGGAATAAGGATTTTCAGAGACAGAACTGGGAGGGAGTGCTGGAAAAGGTAGAAGCCAGGTTGTCTAAATGGAAATGGTTGCTACCTCACCTGTCCTATAGGGGAAGAGCTCTGATAGTGAATAACCTGGTTGCATCATCTCTGTGGCACAAGCTCATCGTGTTGGTGCCACCATCAGGCCTACTGAAAGAAGTGCAGCGGCTCCTGGTTGACTTTTTCTGGTCTGGTCAACACTGGCTGAGGGCATCGGTCTTGTATCTCCCTGTGGCAGAAGGAGGACAAGGACTTGTAGACATTCTGTCCAGAACCGCGGCTTTCAGACTGCAAACGGCACAGAGGCTGTTGTATGGTTGCAGTCGCTGCTGGTTATCCCCTGCTCGATTGCTACTTAGGTATGCTGGACGGCTTGGACTGGATAAGCAGTTATTTCTGCTAAGA